AAACACTCCTGTTTAGTTTTAATTCAATATTTTCCAATGGCTTAGCCGGTGGGGGAGCGAGCTGGCGTAGTGGTTAGAGCGCGGGGCTTCAGTCCCTGAGGTCCCGGGTTCGATCCCCGCCAAGTCACCAATGGATTTTATCTAAGTGATAATGCCGCAACCCCTAGGTCTAGCCTGAAGTAATGTGAAAAACAATCCCAGGCTCGTGCCTAGCGTCCTTAGGACAAAAAAAAGTCTTAGCCGGTATATTTTGATATTCAAATAGTTAGGCATTAATAAATCTTAATTTGTGTGGTTGGCAAAATTGTTAAAAATTCCATATTGTTGTTAGTCTGGGTTTTTCCTCTGTTGGTGAAGTAGGTGGCATCGGAAGCCGAAGAGGTTAAAAAGCTGCGTTCTCGTTGTAGCATCTGACGCAACGTTCTTTCCTTACACGGCAATTTTCCCGTTTACTGAGCATTTTAGTCTCCATACTATCTACTCTCCCCTTCTTAATTACCTCTGCTCTTATCTCCTTCGAGGCTATTTCAATTTTTTCCCGTGGAGTGGTATAAAATGATACTTATTCCTCTTGTGACTACTTCCCATGGACCTTCACTGCTGACAAGCTGCAGGACTAAGACGAGCACAAGACATTAATAGCCTCTCTTTTAGTACCTAAACCCTCCATTTGTATTAACCTTCTGTCTCGTCATTTCAAGATAAATTTAATTTGTTCCATAGTTTAGTCCTTAGTTGTTATTTGCGTTAGTTTTTAGATTTATTTCTGTTTTTCGATTTTTTGGAAAATTTAACTGTACAACGGCTTTGAGTAATTTATAATATAACTAATAAAGTAATTTAATCCTACAATCTAACAAAGCTAAGGATTGAAGCATTTATTTTCCACTTCTATTAATACCTCGACTTCAAGGTGCAGCTTAATTACTCTAATTTATCTCGCGTGCAAACATGTAAGCTCATTCATCAGACATTCTAATTTATCTTGCTGAAACTTGTTTCTGAAATTAATGACGCCATAATGTACTTAACAAAGAGCGCTCAGATTTCCTAAAGACGTGTAGCTAAGCAGTCGTGTTTGCTCAAGTGTTAAGGTTCATAATGATGTTGCAGTATTGAAATAATTATTTTGAGAAAATGTGTAATTATAATGTTTTGTAGTAAGATGGAAGATCACGGATCTTTTGTATGACAGGCTTACTAGATTTTGTAACTGTAGAAAACTAGTTTTTGTTTTGGTTATTCAATTATTTTATTGCATACTCTTAGAATGTAGAATTGATTCAATTACAAAAACGAGTTTTCTTTATTTAATCCGATTATTGTTATGTGTTTACATTGTATAAAAATATCCATTTTAAACAGTGTAAACAGAGTTAGTAGTTTTAACCTTTACAGACATTAACCTAGGCAGTATTCGCACACATGACTGTATTATAATTTTACTGTAATAGTATATAATATTAACTCACTATATCGCTTTTAATTGCTGTGTCTGATTGGAAAAAGTTATTTATGTGACAAAGTAAACAAAACTAATTTTACAAGATCGAACAAAGGGAGATTAAGCAACAAACAGTATATTTGTCGTATGTTTCCAATGAGATAATAAAATATGAGACTCTCCTAAGCGTATTATAGTAATTTTGAAAGTTCATGGTGGAGGATACTTCCTGAGATAGCTCTAGGTTTATTATCGATGAAATCTAGAGATAAAAATGCTTATTAATGTTACTCACAGACATACATTTTGTATTAATTTATACATGCAGTTATAAGTTACGCAGTTTTTTGCCATTGTTTGATTAGTAATTATTGTCATTTTTCTATTATTTATATATTCTATTATTTATAATTTGCACATTTAAGGTGAGTCGGTGGCTCAGTTGGTAGCACCACAGACTTCGCGGCCAAGACAGCTATATCATCTGTTTAGATCCTGGTACCTAGAAATACTTTTAACAGTAAACTAAACTTCACCTTTGTACTTTACCAGTCACCCCTTGCTTTGCTGGATACGTTCCATGCACGTCCGTTGACTATGTGAACGTGCAAGTGCAAGATTAAGGGCCGCAAACCCCTTAACTATTTTAAGCTCAAACAAGCTCAAAACTTCAATATATTTTATGAAAAATATTCCAATATTATGTTACAATATGAGCATTTGAAATGGCAACCTTCCTTGACAGAATTCAGATTAGATCAGAAGTTAGACACAGGAAATCACAATCTGAAAGTTAAATTACAAATGATAAAGTTATGATTGAACTAGGAAAGTTGGGTGAAAAATTACTAGATACTTCTTTATCGACAGTTAGACTAAACTGAGGTCTTTTGATTTGTGCTTTCGTTTATCTCAAGTCATATGCAGCATTTCCACGAATATGTATTTAAGTTGTAAACTGGTTATTTACTGTACTTGGTTACTTAAAAAAAATTTGTGTGGGCGTCTTTCTCAGTTTAATACTTCTTTCGATTCTAAATAAACATATAAAGCTAAAATCTTACTTTTCTCTGGAACATTCCTTTTTTCCGATTTACTCATTCAATGTTTAAGATCGAGGTGTAATTTTCAAGCCTAAAATCTAGTTAAGTAATTAAACCAATGTTTCCTTTAAGGGATTCACCCTCCAAGCTCTCAATTACTTTCTAGAGGTATCTACAATATTTATTGTATGGAAACGTAAATTTTAACTTTATATCATAAATCGTATATCTAAAATTATCAAGTAAATCTAGCAGTGTCCGCTTTTTAAAATCAACCATAAATCAGACTTTTTACGAGTTGCGTGACCAAATGTTATATTTAGAGAGACCAGCTTCACATGTAACGCTCTTTAACCTATTACGATGCAAAACACGCCTGTTCAAAGAAATCCATTTATGGAAATATGTTGCTTCCAGTCAAGTTTATACTGATTTCTTTCCAAATTGCATTTCATACCATAAAGAAAATAAGTGGACTAAAAACTGATTTCTCTTTCTGTTTCAAAAGGATACCTTATGAATTTTAATTTCAACAATGCTGTAAACTACACAATTACAATTCCTCTCAAATAAGTGTCGTGAACATCTAAGTTCAGCTATAAAAATCTCTTCTATCTAATTAGCCAGGTCTCAAATAATCAATGATAAAATATAAACTAAAATGCAAACAAAGCAATGTTAATTTCTCAAATGTTGATATCCATGATGATACTCTAATCCTACGTATACTCAACAATATATTTTAATGTTTTCTAGGTTGTTATTGCTTTATCCAAAAATTAACCGTTTAAAAAAATTGTTTTTTTTTAGACATACTCCATTTTGAAGGTGCAAAATTGAAGAAAATACTACGGTTCTTCAAAGCTGCAAATAATTACCGATGCAATATGAAAATAACAAAATTAAAAAATAATGTTGCTACATTATCGTAATGGTTTTAGCTTACATTCTTAGCCGAGTAAAATTTCACACTCTTATCGAAATGTAAACCAATATATTGACCAAATGTTAACATTGTGATTGTTTATCGTTATAAAAGCCAATCAATAAATTTGATGCAGCCAATTAAATACTGTGATGCCCCGAGCCTAAGCCTAATGCAAATTGTTGATTGTGAATATACAAATATGTTGACTGGTTTCAATATTTTTGTCTGCGTTTAATTCGAGGTTCAGTAGTTAGTATCCGCTCGGTACAAATATATAAACCAATATTGGACAGAAACCAATTATATTTTTTATATTGTGCAAATATAAAATCTCATCCCCTCTGTCAACACTAGTGAGAGAAAGTTTACTAATTTGTGATTTCATAAGTCATTTACATCTTGTATAGTTTTGTAGTGGTTGTATGAAAACGGTTCCAGCCCTGGTCTAAACTTATACATGTTAAATCACGTGTATATTTCCAATACAACTATTTTTCCTCCAATCTCTAGACCTCCTTGTGAAAAACCACTTTTGCATTTCACACCACTAACATTCAAAGTATCTTTTTCATCCTACAACACTCCTCTATCTTGTTGTTATTCACCTCATCTCTCACTACAGATGTAGAGAGAGAAATAGTCTGTAGCCATGTACTCTAACCTTGCCTCGATGATCCAGTTTAAACACCTGCACCATTGTTGTGACACGCGTAACAGTGTGACACACACACACACGCACACACACGCACACGTCGCAGCGTCGTCTCCATTGACCTGATAGTTGGCTAGTGCGCAAGACACGACCGCTCCGGGCCATCCGCCTGCTGCAGGGAGAATTTCCCCTTGCGGGGAAATTTAGGCGTGGTAGGATGGATATTCTCTGTATTAACGGTGTGGTAGGGAATTTTTCTCACAACGACCAATTAGAAAACCTTTGTAAATGTAATTTGTGATTCTAACATTTTTTAAAGTGAATTTTATGTATAAACAGTAAAGGTAATTATCACTGTTGGCGAAAAAATGATGCATTTATTATGTTGTAAATTAGTGTGGGTACAAGTTGACCTCATATCCTTGTTGATCGTATATATTGGCAAAGTCTTATGAGGTCTTAAGTTGAAAAAAAAATATTAACAAGAATCCCTGGCATGATTTTAATGGTAAAGTCTTTATCGTATCGTACCAACAATATTTTGTACAGAACTTTGACGGTGTCCAAAAATCCTCTAAAATGTATTGATTAAGTATGTTGTAAGTAAATAATCATGACAAATTAAATTCAAATTAGGCATAAATTACAATACACGTTGTTTAATTTACGTAACAATAAAAGCGGACACGGTTTGTATAATGAAATAATAGTTATAACCTTTATTATTAGCTTTTAATAAAGCATAACATCACACAATTGTTTTGAAAAGATATAATTTAGAACAAACTAGAGTCAACACGCTTTCTTATACGCAAATACGAATGCAACAATATTATCTGTTTCCGCTCGAAATTCCCCCACTTGGGGGAAATTCGTCTCGACGCGGGAAATGTGGGAGGCAGCGGCGTGGTTCTGGTTTTGGTTCAGTCGGTGCGAGGGACTAGTGCAGTGCGGTGTTGTGTGACTCTTCTAACATTGTCCGTCTCGCTCACACAGGTAAGCAGTAACCACAACCGGTTTTACCAACCGCACAATGCCATCAGCTGATTTCCCCGCCCTAGTTACCCAGCTGATCGGCGCGCTCATCTCGGTGTCAAGTTTCAGCTGTGTAGACCTAAAATCGATCCATCAAACCCCCATCTGGAGATAGGGCTGAGTGGTCTTGTCAGTAGATAACGAATCGTAAACACTTAGTGGAAATGATGTTGGGTGAATTGTTCAAATGTACTATAGGCTACTATTTTTGGGAAGGACACGTTATTATTAACAATAATTATTTCATACCTAACGTAAGTAACGTAGAATTGTCTTCAATATCGCGAGTTTATAGCAAAGATACAAATATTATCACGTTAATGGTTAGAAAATATGCTTTAAACAATCTGAATATGATTATAAGTAAGAACTTTTTAATTGCGGTGCATTAATTACTCTGGAAACGCTTGAGTGCTTTTTGACGCAGTCTAAATCACTCTCTTTTTCAGTTTAAACTGTTTAAGCATTAAGTAAGTTAAAAAATACATAGGCATCATGGAGGCTAAAATAGAACTGAATGATTCATATGTGACTGTGAACGAAGAAATGTGATAAGAATGATCGTTGATAACTGTGACTGAATTTGATATGATATGCGGTATCACATTAAAAGTTATTTAAAATGCAAATTATGGATTTGAAGAAGGTAAAGGTACTTGCTGTATAGTTATATTCATATGTACTCTATAAACATAAATTATATGTTTTGACGTTTACTTGGTTATCATGAATGAAAAAAAAACGTCCAAAATAAAAATAAAATGTATATGTTTCGATTTAGAAGTAGATTTATTGGAGTTACTTGGCAATTGTTGATATTTATGAAACACGTTACAAACATGGTAAGATAGCAATACAAAGTAATACTGTGTATGGATATGTTAAAGCGTAAACGATTTCGTTCATGGAAATTCTTCACTAATATCTTCAACACGATATTGTTATACCTATAGTAACAATTGAATCAAAGGTATAGCTAAAATGCAATCTAAAAAGGATGCAATGTTACTAGTAAACGTGAAATGAAAAAAACGCATGACTGCAGAACAACTTACATGCATTATTTTGGGCATTACAACCTTACATATATACTTTTTAGTACCCCAAAGTAAACTTTGAGTATTAAGTTGAAATCTTCGTTTTGGACAATTAACAGTAAAAAATGAAAACGTTAATCGTATTGAAAAGACAATTTAGACAAATATCATAAAGAATTTCAGTAAATTTTGGTAAGTCGGGCAGTAATTGAGAGATTTAAACTTGGTGACGATTCAAATAAGTCTAAATACCTTATCTTCAGCTCTAATTTAGTCTCGGGCGACTATTTTCAACTGTTTATTTTTTTGGCTTCTTGACGTCTCAAGTAAAATTATTTTAACACATTATTATCGTCAATACACAACAATACAACAATACAATACCGTAAGTTAACAAAATGAATACACGCTGTCGGCAATAATACGCACGACTCCACTTACCTCCAACCAATTATATTGATTCCTAAAAAAAGAAGAAAAAAAACCTACTGTAAATCTATAAAAGCCTCCATAGTCAAACGTATTTAGATGCGTAATTTTCCATCATTTCTAAGAAATTAAAACAGTTTAGTAGGCCTAAAATGTTAACGAACAGAATTTCGCTTGTCTTATTCATCGATGTATAATAAGGTCTTACTACGATTGAGAACAGATGTGCTGAGTATGACGTAACATGTATAAACATGATTGTAATACCAAGAGTGGCAACTGGCAGCTCTACATAAGGCTAGATGTAGACGTCATTAACGAAGTGTAACTTTATTTTTTTATCTTGCAGCATTTATATTTAGGAACTTCATACACAACGTATTACTAAATGGTGGACCATTCCACTCATCGAATCTACGTAAACATAGTCATACCTAAAGCTGTCACTAAGTTCATCATAAGACACTAAACTTTTAATCACTATTAATTAAATACTTGTAAACATTTTGAAACTACTGAACGCAGTACTTGTTGGACGAAATTAACAGCTATCTCAAGTATTTACAGCAAATTATACTTTTTTATGTAAAAAAACTAATTTTTTATATATTTAATCAATATTTAAAACAACTGTAAATTGCATTAAATTTAGATTGCATTAAATAAAACCTAGCATTAAATTTTAATCCTAGGTTTTTATTTTGTTTGTTGCAAAAAGACGATAACTAGTTACTATACTATTATCTAAATTGTGAACAACAACGTTATAGGTTTTCTTATTTGATTAATTTTCATATTGGAGTCTTAATTCAACTAGGCGAAAGACTATACATAAGCGAGATTTTACACATCCAGGTTTTTGTATTAAATTAAAACGTAATAAAAATTTGCTATGCAATTAAATTGCGGAATCGCAGACTTATATTTCATTGAAAAAACCCCATTTAAGTGGAGTATGGTTGCTTTTGAATTTAAAATAAATATCTAAGCAATTGATATTTAAACACGTTACAGGCATGTTTATTTTTAAGATATCGAAGACTGATATACCAATTACGTCAAAATTATAAAGCAGATGAATTTCATTTTGCTGTTAAAGATACGATAACTAGTTAGGAACCAATATTACCATAATCAGCTGAACAATACAATACACGAAAGTAAAACTATGTAAATTGATTACACTAATTTGTCTTTATTTGTAGAATCAATAGCTAACGCCCTTATAAATCAACTAACAAAACAAAAAAGTAGCATTGTAATTCTGTTAAGATGCGTTGTAACTTTATTTTATTTATATAAAAAAATAGAATTTTAAATTTTTTTTAGGCCATACTTATGTGGAATCATCAATTATTGTAGAAGCAATCATTTGTTAAATATCTATCATCAATCAAAGATTTAGCTTACAGTAAAATATAGTAAAACGATGATAAAAATAATATTAAGGGAAATTGCGTGAAAATTAGATTGATGGGTCTCATATAAATCGAGGATTAAGGGATTATCCTTGTGATGAATTGGTTTTATTTCCATGCACAAATTTTCCAATGAAGTATATCTTTCGAATTACTGATCCCAAAAACACCCAATTAGACAAATCTTAATAGTTTTAATTTCTTAACTGACAACTAACTAAACTACAAAATTATAATGTCAAAAAGTATGTTCATTTGTACAAGCTAATGCACAACAACAAGACTAATGCACAGACAACTTTTGTAGAAGTTGTTGAAGTTGTTTATATAAAGAAGATTTTGAACAAGAATCTATACTTAAAATACATTACCCGATGACATAAAAGATACCATGATAATGAAAAGATTTTTTACCCTGATGTATGCTAAAGTATTTATCATATACTTTAGTTTGCATCCCATTATGTTATCCCACTAAGTTTGCAAAAATATTATCATAACCCCTTCCACCACAGACTATATAGAGTAAAAGGGGCCAGACGATGACGGGGCTCTACGCATTGTCCGGATAGCTGTCTGGGTTTAATCTATAGTCTTTGCTTCCAATCTACCTTACCAATCTTAATGTTTTTCTACAGTATAAAATTTAACTAAAAAAAATTGTAAAATGGAAAATGCTATTTATTTTAAGCTGTTTAAAGGAGGAGTTGTATTGAATGTATTTGAAACCCCTTTCAAAGTTGTTACATAATTATGAATTGGACCGTTTTACCAATTTTAAACAGAATATGACTGAATAATTAAGTCAGTGTGAAAATCGTTTAAAAGAAATCCTTACGTTTAAACATTAGCTATTTGGCTTTATAATATAAACTTATGATACTGTAAGTTTTACCATAGTCTTAAGGTGCCTATAATGAAAAAAAAGTATAACGAACAAAAGATAAATCTAGATAATTTTAAGGTATATTAGAGCTTGAAATTCAAACCTAAATCCCTAACTACTCTGTATTTTAAGCCGTGTAAAATCAAAGCATTAAATTTAATCAGACTAATGCGTCCTGCCTTTGCAGTGATTTAACAAAAATGTTCTTAACTCTCCGTAATTAAATTGCACCGTCGATGTTGGTAGGCTTGTGTACCAATTAACACACTAATTTCGTAACGTATATAATGAGCAGTATTTTAAAACTAGCACATTGTTTCTCTTTACCACCATTAAGGTAATTTGTAATTTTATCACATTTAAAAGCAAAATGTACATCTTAGGAATATACAAATTGCATTTTGATTAGAGAAAACTACATGTTTTTGTTTCATATTGAAACTATATTATCTATAGTTAAGTTACTGTTCAATTTATTTGTATTTTTTTGGTACGGAAACATCTTATCGTTATTTTTAATAAGGTGCATGTAAAACGTACTCTTCTTTAGTGGAAAAATACTGATTCGATCAATTTGAATATTATTGACGTTAAAGTGAATCTTTTCGATGTAACTTCAACCCTTACAACACACGTTTTTATATGTTTTATCTATATCAGTTTCTCACTCATACGAGAAATATTATATTTTAATTTATTCATGAAACACTTGCAACAGCACTTACGCACAGCAGTACGACAACTTTAACGTTTTGTGATTAGAGACGAAACAAATTTAACATATTGAAACATATTTTTCAAATAAACAAATTATGTAGAGTTATTCTAATATGTTTTATATCCTCCAAAGGCTTCAGTAGTTGTAAAAAAATAAAAATGTATGATAATTAGATCAAAAATAGCTACATTATTATATTTGTATTTTTACACTCACCCTTTAATCACTTGAGTCTATACCAGTGCCATTTTCTTTAGATCTGCTGTATGAAAAGTCACAAATCCATCATTTAATCCTAGATAGAACTTTTTGATTGTATCGCATAGTTTGGTAACATTCTTTTTATTAAGTTCAAGGAAGGGTTTAGAATTTTCTAAGGCAACCTACCTAATACATCATTTAATCCTAGGTAGAACTTTTTGATTGTATCGCTTAGTTTAGTAGCATTCTTTTTATTAAGTTCAAGGAAGGGT